CAGACTAATTTAAAAAAGGTGAAAAAGTAAATTTATTAAAGCATTTAATTAAGAAAGAAAATTGAAGGATAAGGCAATTAAAGTTTGGTGAAGATATTTCAATTTTTTTGTCACTTTATTCCAACAGCTGTATGTACCAAAAAAAAAACAGTAACCAGAAAAATGTAAATAAACCTGAAATCGGTAATATATAGGGTTATTTAAATCATTTATTCAAATCGGTTTTTATGGATACAGCTTACGACATCATTCCACACGTTCCTAACAAAAAATTTTAAAAGTGATATACATAAACTTTTAATTTAGATTTCGATTAATTTAGATTTTAAGTAATATTCTATAATTTTTGTAAATGCTCTATGGATTTTTTGAATCATACAGCACTTATAATCAATAACTTTTATTTTTATTTATTTTATTTAATTTATCATCAATTTTTTTTGTGTTTAACTATTGACTATATTAGGTTAGGTAAGATTTGGTTAGGTCGCCCAAGTGATCCTTAGGATCTACTTTGTATTGGCCCATTGTGTTACCGTATTAGAAACTTAGAGCTTTATAAACAACTTTGAACGTATAGTAAAACCTAAAACACACCTTTAAGGGAGGTCTCAACTTGCCTAAGACATATGTTACCATTTATTAGGTTAATTCAGGTTATATTGATGATCCTAAGGATCCACTTAGGGTTTTTTGACCACTGTGTGACCGTATAAGAAACTCAGAGATTTTAAAATCACTTTGAACTTTTGGTTAATCGTCGTTAAAGAGAGATACCAGCTCCAGAGAGGGCCAGATTCTAAAAAGTAAATCCACAGTATAGTCATTCTGCGTGGCGTTTGCTCTGAGCTGTAACAAAGCAAATGTGAGGTACTTTCATCGTGCTCCTCACAACTGCGACAGAAGTGATTTAACAGGAGATTCAATCTTCGGGCATGATTTCCTTAACGGTATCTTTACATGGCATCTTAATAAGATTGATAGACTATTTTTTTCAAGAATATGTCTAATGTCTTTTTATGTAAGGCCTTCATTAAAAATAAGCTTTGCAGTTTGATAAGTTTCTCCTCCATACTGTTGAAGTTGTACGAAAAGCATTTACTATGAGAAGAGATAATGTCATATCACAACCTAATATCTCTAATGTACGAGTACAATTTAAACTCACTTATAGAAGATATATGTATGCACATATATTATAACATATATATGTATATAATATCTTATAAAATTATGTATATTTTAGCATATGCAGAAAGGTTTTAGAGCTTACCATTCAATTTCACTATTTTCACTTTATGCCTACTAATTAATTTCTCACATTATATGGTGATGTTATTGCTAAATTCGAGAGTGATGCTTTTTGACAACTTTTCACTCGGTCTCAACCTCAGTACATCATTCAACTCTTTATCAATAATTTACTATTAGATTAAAATATATACATTTTTGAAAAGATTTTTTTAGGACAAAATGTCCTACATTATCATAGATTCAGTTAATTCTACAAATAGGAATTGTAGTTAGGAAAAGCTACAACCTGCTAAAAAGACTTTAGAATATATGTGTATACATTAAATTTTAAATTTTTTTTTATTTTAATTTTTTTTTATTTTTTTTTGATTTTGTAATTCAATGTAAATTAAAAAACCTTGACAAATGTGCAAAATTAGAAAGAAATGTGAAAGAAATGAATTTTGTGTCACAAGATGAGCAATTTCCTTCTAAATTTGCGGTAAATTAAAGTTATTTCTGTGTGCTTTGAAACTGAAGATGAAACCACTTTTCACACCGCAAACACATACTACGAATATCCAATGAATCCTGACAATACTGCAACCGCAAAAGAAGATGTTCCCCATCCTTCCCTTGTTAACGGTTTGCAGAAAACCGACTCAAAGGTTTTGCAGTTTTTCTTTTTAGAATTTACCTCTTCGAGTAAAAAGAAACATTTTATCACATCGCAATTCTTAAAGAAAATATAATAAAATATATTAATTGGAAAAATATATTAATTTTTCATTTGATATATCAATAAAACTCTTTTTGTGGTGAAAAAATTAATACAAATATAAATAAACATTTGGAAAGCATTACCATAGTTAATGCAGATAAAAATTTGGTCTTACATATGTAATTATTAGAGAATGGTATTAAAGGTGTAGATTTTAGATATATTCCTGATTTCTCTCATTCAATCACCACCCCATCCAAATTTTTTTTGAATCTACTTTTTAAAAAGTTCATTGTTGATTTTTTTTTATTTTAAGTAGATCATATATATAAAAATATATCATGCTAAGAATTTGATTTTATAATTTCTTTTTCTAGATTTCGCCTTTATATAGAATACAGTTTAATCTTATTTCCTATATGCAATATACCTTATATGTATTCCATATTGTAAAGATGATACCTATCATAATCATGTCATGTTTATCTATATTGTGACCTCGTTCTGTAGTCTGAGGTCCTTTTTTTTTTAATTGTATGAGAAATTTCGACAAATTCTTTATAAATGTATTCGTTACTTTACTATGTACTGCTTCAGACTACTTTCTTTTGTAAACCAAATCTACTCAGTCATTGACAACGAATGAATTTCTCAGAGCTAACGCTAAAAATTCATTTTAGGCCTATAGGTGCTTCTATTATATATACTTCTAATTAAGTTTTGCTTTCCAAAATTGACTTACTTAAGAGATATAAACCAACATCAGAATTTAAACTCGAAGTGTTTTATTTATAAAAAATAAAGTTTATAATCTAAACTCGAAGTGAAACATAAACTAATATGCAGCCCTAGTGATTAACACATTTTTTTGAAGCTACCACTCATGTTGCAAAATCTGTTAAATATTACAGTCTTATACATATATAATATCAATAGATATACTATGGAGCATATACTATAATTAATCCACCGTTAGCTGTCTTGAGTTTATATTACAGAAAGGCTTCATATCATTTGTTACACGGTCTTTCAACCGAAGATGCGAACAATATTTACCAACTTTTCCACTGGCAGATGTCAGGCCAGAAATATTTGTCTGGAGTATTTTCAGCTATTTATATGATATAACTAAGCTCAGCAAAGTCACTGAATTTTAAAACTCTTAACTATGTTTTTGTCGCATTATAGCTTATACAACTTATTCTTCCACCTATTTTGATATTAGATACCAATGTATATGGAACTATAGATCTTCGGAATAAATTTTTCTCGAATGCTTCTAAAATCTTCTCATTACTATTAGTTATTGGTCAAGTTTTTGCATGAATCAGTAGCACAGGCAGGACTTTATAAGACTTGTACGGCATGATTTTAGTTTATAGAGAGAGGGATTTGTTTTTCAAATGCCTTCTTAAGCCGAAGTAGCACCTATTGGCAAAAGTCTTACTTTGTTGAATCTGTAGACTGATGTAATTTTTAAGTTTTTTTTTTTGGTAGTTCTTACATAAATAAAAATTTTGTAGATTCAAACTTATAGTAGTCAACAGTAAGGTGGGATTCCAAAGAAATTTATTTGTTGACGTCAAGTATTTTGCTTTAATCCTCATTTTTCACAAGACCCATTTGCTTTACATGCTTGTTTTAAGTTTGAAAAAATCGCAGTAACGGATTGAGTTTTCAGACCAACAATATCAATATCAGCGACATACAGTATTATATATATTAAGCAGTATATATAAAGCAAATTTATGAATTGAGTGTTCAAATTGAATTAGCGGTTGCGGTTGAACCCTAATCATTAGTTCCACCAGCATATATAGAATATCGCAAATAAACATTTCATTTTTCTACATAATCACATTTCAGCTCGATACATTTAGTCGAGCGTTTTTCTAATTTTATTATTCCCTCCAAATAATAGGTTTTTTCAAAGCTCTCAAAATGCGCGTTTGTTTCGGTAATGCCTTCTTCATTCGACTCAAATCTCTTACCGCCCAGCGATTTCTTTAGGTTTGGAAACAGAAAATAGTCGCAGGGGGCTAAATCTGGAAAATATGCTGGATGGGCTAGCAGTTCGTATCCCAATTCGTGAATTTTGGCCAGTAATGCTTAATCAGCACACGAAATTCACTTTTTTCCATTTTCGTAAAAATTCACGAGGTTGTCTGCTTTGAACGGCTATCAAACATCAACTAAACGACGTAGCTTGCTCAAAATTAGAAAGTTGCCCACTGGTAGATTACAACTGACGGCAGCACTGTTGCATTTGGAGTAACTGCGCGGGAAATTCAAAAAGTCACTGACTTATCAAAACGCCCTCGTACAATGGCGGTGATTTAGAAGATAAGTACGATTGTATAAGATTGGAACAGGTGCCGAATCATGGATATATGAGTATGAACCGGAACGTAAACAGCATTCAAATGTATGGGTGTTTCAAGAAAAAACCAAATCCAACAAAAGTTGTTCGCGCTGGAAGCTCATCGAAACAAATGGTTGCTTGATTTTTCGGGAAAATTGTAGAGGTAGTGAAGCCCACTGTAGGATTGTTGGGTATGAATATCATACATACCATCTTTCTAAATTATACCTACATTTTTAGAAATGTTGCCAAATAAATTTGAAAATGGTCAGTCTCTACTTTATAAAAATAATCTGAATATACATTTAAATAAAAAATTAAATATTTGTATATTTAATTAAATTATTACATATATTTTCAACTATATAAAAACTATAAATGTATGTATAGATTAATAAAACAAAAAACAAATATTGTGTTAGACTTTTTTTTTTGTAATCATTTAATAGAGATAAAACTTAAAAACAAAAAACAATAAAATATCAACTCAACTGACATATAAGTACAGTTTAAAAAATTTTAAGGATAATTACATCTCCTTAACTATCTAAATTTTCTTCTTCTTTATCATTTTTGACTTCTCTCTTTCACAGTTCAGCTTTTCTCTTTTGAATTAATTAAATAAATTAATCAAATTAATTTATTAGATAACTAATATTTTAAATATTTTTTAAATTTGCTTTTATTCAACTTGCATTTAACGTGTTTTTTTGTTTTTTAAATTAAATTTTTACAAATTTACCCCTTCTCAATAATTGGGTATAGGGTATATGTATTTTTGTATATAATATTTTAGTATTCACACACGTATAAGTATAAAATTTTTTAAGATATCATTGGAATACAATAAGACTGTGTTATTGTTTTATTTAATATTTTTTATTTTTCATTGGTGAACATTTTATGTTGAACTGTGGAAATTAGTTAGTAATTTGTTGTTGTCATTATTTTGACTGCTATTCGTGGTTGAATTTGATGTTGCTGCTCCTGCTGCTGCTGTTTCTGTTGCTGCTTCTGTAGTTGTGGTTGTTGTTGCTGATGTTGTTGGTGTGACGGCTATTGATGGTGTTGTTGCTGAGTTGGTACTGTCTTTAGCTTTGTAATCATTTGTATTGCCATCATCAATCATGACAAAGTTTTCATTTTGCCCTGTTCCTGCTGATAGTTTTCTAGATGCCTCCGTTTCAGCTGCAATTGTTGTTGATGTTTGGATATTTGCTAATTGCTGCCTTGTTGCCGCTGGTGTATCTGCTAAGCTTATTAATGTGGGTTGGTTAAGTTTTTGTGTTGCCTGAGTTCTCTCGATTTTCTCGTGGTCATTTTTAAGTATTTGACATGCTGCTTTAAGCGTATCAGCATCAGACTTCGGAAAGCCTTCTAAGCACTCCTTTTTCACACCTGATGCCACCTGCATTTGACAGTGTTCGCCAGTTTGCTGTTGTTGTTGCTTCTGCTCTTGCTTTTGCTCTTGCCGTGGCTGGTCTTTTGTATACGATTTAGTTTCTAATTGCCAAATATTTTGGTTGTATTCATCATTTTTATTAGGAGTTTTGACAGTTTCAGCTGATGCTGGCTTGACTGCTGTTGTAGTTGAGTTTGCATCACCTTCCTCTCCTTTACTATTAGCACCACCTGATTTATCTTCGTTTGTTAAGTATAGCGTGCCATGAATTTGAACTTGTTGTTGCGACAGCGACTTTTGTTGTTGTAGTTGTTGCTCCTTCTGCTCCTCTGGTATAACATTTCCCATTTGATTGTTTTGTACATTTTCCGATATTTTTGCTGAATTATTTGCGGATGCTGTGTTTTGACGTTCATCCCCGTGATTTGTTTCGACATCTTGACAAATGCAAATGGAAAAGTAAGAACATGAAAAAAAATAAATAAAAAAAATTTGAATAATAAATAGCAGGAAATAACAAAGATTATTTGTATAATTTTTATCAAAAATAAATGTTTAATTTTTTTACACAAAAATTTTCATATTATAACAAAAATTATAAAGTATAAAAAAACAGAAATTTTATTTAATATTTAATATATAATAAAAATATTTATGTGCTATTAAATTACTTTTTAGTAAACAAATTTCATATTTAAAAATTAATTGTTGATCTAGTGAAATTTGTTGCCTAACCATAACTCTGTTTCGGATGTACCAAAAATACCTGATCAGTGGTGTTTAGAAATATCTATTGAATTAATATGACATAAATAAACCATGTTTTAAGCGACAGGAATTAAGTATCAAATTTGAATTTTGAAAATTCAAATAACGATATACTTTGATATTATATTTCACTATGTGGAAAAACTCAAAATTGTTATATTATACTTAAGCAAAATAATTAATTTATTTTAATTTAATTTGATTATGTAGCATACTTTTAGCATATAAAATCATAATTTAGAAATTGAAATATTCAGAATAAAGTTGACAATTTTAACGTTAGTTCCAATAAAGAATATTTTTGTTAATAATAAGAATTCGACACTAAACTCGTTTAAAGATATAAAACGGAAGTAGACTAAATTTGCATTATTCGAATTTCGAGATTCCCAAACAATAATTGCACTAACGAATAAACTACGGCTATATAAATTTACTTAACTATGATGTATATTAATTTTTCTTTTGCTTTAAGCCTCTTTAAGCCTCCACAAAATGCTTTTAAGGCATTCTGTAATTAAAATGCTGTGATAGTATCAATAATCATTACAATAAAACCATAAGTGACTTAATATGAAACCCTTTAGCATTATATATTTGATGTTAAATTTGCTGATTTTTAATAATAAACATTTTTCTTGAAAAAATATTGCTTATTACTTTGAAACTATCTCCAGCAATTTTGTCAAACAAAAAAAAAACTGGAGAAATAGAGGGTTGCTGAAAGAGTTTTGCATATTATCGGATTCTACGGTCGCTTTAACAAGGAAAAGGTGTAAGGAACATATGTGCATATATCCTAGTTCAATTTGTAATTTTAAATTATATGTCCAATGATAAGAAATGTATCTTTGAACTAAAAAGTTGTTAATACTGAGAAAATGTCTTAATCTAAAAATATTATTCTTGTGGTGACGATACAGCTGTTTCGAGTGGCTTTACCATTTTTATCTTATCAAAATATTAATTTGTATAATTGGCATCAAATTGCAAGTTCCTAGTATCAAACTATGTCATACACGCGATAAATATGTGTGTATATATCATATATTTGTATATATATTTCGTGTTTGGTGGAATTAAAAGGAAATTCTCCATTACGAATACACAATTTTACTGCTTGAACGACACAATCAAGAAAAATTGATCAGAATTTGCCAACGAAAAAGGAGTTATATATCACAATGACAATGCTCGGTCGCACACATCGTTGATGACTCGAAACAAATTTCGGAACAATTTTACGAAATTTGGTTGGGAAATTTGGATGCAACGACCATTTAACTGAGAACTTGTACATCTCACTACTATTTTTTTCGGTCTCCAAAAACTCCATTAATGGTAGAAAATTGGACAACTGAAGAGCTACTGAACCTAACCCTTTGCCGATAAAGCACAGAAGTTTAACACCCATGGAATTATAAAACTACTCAAAAAATCACAAGATGTAAATAATAATATTGGTATCATATGTTATATTGGATTTGGTTTTTCTAAAACTCTCTTAATGGTAAAAAACTTGCAATCAAATTGTCGATGAAAAGTACTTGGCCTAAGTTTTTCGCCGATAAACTACAAAATTTTTACATCGATTGAATTATGATGCTACCCAAAAAATGACAAAAGGTCGTAAATAATAATGGCATACCTTCTGCTCAAAAAGCACTCGGATTTTGTAAATAAGACACATAAATTTAAATCTTATTCCAAATTAATTTTATCTCCTTCAAAATATGATCCTTCTAAAGCGATACACATATGCAAACGCTTAACCCAATCTTCCATACACTTTTCGTAGGCCCGTGAAGATAAGACTTTTAGTTCCTTCGGCGAATTCTCTTTTACCGATTCAATCGATTCAAAACGCTTACCACGAAGGGTAAGCGTTTTGTTACCCGAAATTTGAGTTTCGGGAACAGGAAAAAGTCGCACGGAACCAGATCTGGCGAATATGATGCCTGGGCGATGACAGTGATGCCGTGTTTGGTCAAAAAATCGCGTACAACAAGAATTTTCCATAGTAAAAATCGCTAAATGCACTTGAGGTAGTCTCACATTAACAGCTGCTGTAAACAAACTAATTGACAGATGGCGCTCAAATTTGTACCATATGTCAAGAAAGGGTTTACCAACATAACAAAAAAAACTTTTTTAAAAAGGTATATTACTTAAGGAGTTGTTAACACACAGCAAAATATATTTTGTGTAGAAGGTATATATTGGTTTCAATTTATCTAAAACGCTCTTAATAATAAAAACTGGTCGACTAAAGACTCGATGAATAACATTTTACCAAGTTTTTAGCCGATAAACTACAGAAGTTCTACATCGATGAAATTATAGACTTACCCAAAAAATGACAAGAGGTCGTAAATAATATTGACCAATATAAACTTGTGAAAATAATTTTCAAATAAAATTTGTTCAAAAATGTGTCAGAAAACCACAGATACTCTGTATATCAACCAGTTATACATTATATAATATGTATATGTACATCTATTTGTGCTTAAAGTTGTTTATGATTCATACTGTTATAATTAAAATTCAAATCTGTTGTAATTTACGAATTTTGATATCATTTTAATTATTCTAGATATCAACTTTCAAAAAAGTAATTCCATGTAATTATTCCATTTTGTTGTTGTTATAAAAAATTTCATAACAATGTCCAAATCAAATCAGTAATGATACGAAAAGAAATTATATTTAGAAAATATTTACGTTGTAATTTACATAAATGAAAATTACAAAAGATTTCACCTTTTCTCCTGAACAGCTTCACCAACCATCGCTCCGTATTTAACCATTCATAGACTCAACAAATTGTTCAATGACTTGAAACTTAAAATTTACTTTTCCAATTGATTTAACACATTAAATTAAAGGGGTTGCTAGTTCGAGAAGAGCCGAATATTGGATGTAATATAGAGAGACAAGTACCCAGCAATATAACGTTCACATGGGTGTGACTGATACGTTTCAATTCGTTGTAAATGAGTTTGTGTATCCTTTTTAAATTAAAATTGACTTACAATACTTGAGCTTTAAAAGCATTTAATCATCATTACCAGATTAACTTGCAGAAAACAAGCAATTCGTTTTAAACAAGGAAAGAAAAGCAAAGGACAAGTAAGGAGCTAAAAGATTGGAATTTACATTTTTTATACGAATTTTTGAAATTCAATATTAACTTTGAAAAGAAAAATAAAATTTCATAGCAACAATATATAAAGATACCTTTATGTAGCCCTTTACATTGATAAAAAAAAATAAGGACAGGAAAGAATGCCAGTCTATTCAGTGTAGTGCAAAACGGATTAATATATTGTGCAAATCTTTCCTTTGCTCTTGCTGGACAAAGTGCAAAAGTCAACAATACATCAATGAATCACTCATAATCGTATCCAGGAGGAGATTTAAATTCAAGCAAGAAAATTGAACACTTAATCGCTTAATTGCGGATGAGCTCTACCTTTAGTTTTTCTGAATATAGTTTACTATGGTCTCCATGTAGGAGCTCTATTATTAGCTCTTACATTAAGACTGAAAAGTTTTCGGAAATTCTCATTTAAAATTCGCGCGCTGTATATTTTTCGATATTTTAAGTTTATGTAGTTTGGCAGCACTGTCCTTAATTACTATGCCAAAAATGAGCTCGATCTGTCAGACAGTTCGTTTACGGCAGCTGTTGAAACCAGTTCACCTCAGTAGTGCGTTGCGAAATGTCTTCGACGGTCGTACGACCGTCCTGGAAGGCTTTGTACCACTCATAAACTTGAGTTTTCGATAAAACTGATTCCCCATAAGCCTTTTGTAGCATTCGCAACGATTCTGCACACGAAATTTCGTTCGAAACACAAAATTTGATGCAAACTCTTTGTTCAATATTTTTTTCCATTGTTTTTTTCGCAACGCCCTACTGAGGTGAACTGGTTTCAACAGCTGCCGTAAACGAACTGTCTGACAGATCGCGCTCATTTTTGGCATAGTAATTAAGGACAGTGCTGCCAAACTACATAAACTTAAAATATCGGAAAATATACAGCGCGCGAATTTTAAATGAGAATTTCCGAAAACTTTTCGGTCTTAATGTAAATAAATATTTAGACAATAATATTATAAATAAATTATTTCAAGTGAGGTCCAAACAATCAAATTTAATAATGCGTTTAGATAGATATTTTTTTTTGATAAACAAGAGAAAACAATATTAAGTATTAAAAAAATATGTTTTTCGATATATATGATTGTTCAAAAACTTCACAGAGCTTCACATACCTGCCAATAGTAGAAGGAATACTTCATAAGATCATAGCTAACATTTTGTAATTCATTGTTTATAAAAGATTTGAAGTAAACATAGTTCTGTGTTTAAATACTTTGTAAATAGATTCAAAGGTAATAAGAATTCATACCTATAAATGTCTCATATGAATCTGCTTCTTCTAAAACAATGGTTTGTAAGTGGGCTGCATTGCATTGAAATGATTGTAAAACCTACCAAGATAATTAACGTAAAGGACGGTCAAAATTTACATTAATACCAGAAATCGTCGCAAAAGTTTAGAATACGGTTTTGGAGAATTACTAAAAAAAGCAGAAAATACACCCTCAAATGCTACTGCATCAACAAAATCTGCAGCATTTTAAAAGAGATAAAAATGACTTGTATCATTTCAGTTACTGAGGGTGCCAAAAGGAATTCAATCGAATATTCATTAGATTCAACGCTCTCTAATTTCTGACTTTTCTCACACCTGAAAATAGCCGTGGAAAACGATTTCCATCAAAAGAAAAGGTAATAAATGTGTAGAAAAGTATTTTATAAATCTTTTGGAAAACGTCAAATGAATGCATTAAAATTGTTAAGTTATATGTACTCAAAGACGATACTGCATTTATATAAAGGGTTGTTAGACCTTTTTTGTATACAACCTCAGTGATATTAGTTCTGTAGCAATAGGTTTTGGTATATGATATATACGAAGACAATAATCGACGAACGCATTGTGGAAGGATGAATCTACTAATGATTCTGATATGAGAATGCTCCTTATCTTTGTAGCACAGAAGGAAACATTGCTTAAACAGTAGTTGATTATGCTGTACTATAAGAACGATTTTTAACTCTACAAAAAAATCTCTACATATCTCCATTTTCAAAATGTAAAGTGTACGGCAGAAGATTTTATTCGTGATAAGTTAAGGTTTTCATCACCAAAAAAAGAGTCAAAATTAAAGATATGCGCTTATTACATTGTAGGATTCTGTGGTCTAACAGTGGTCATACTGAATAGCACAATAGATATTATAGTGTACCATTACCCCCTCTAATAATGATAATGTTTAGAGATATTAGGTAAATATTATTAGTTCCATAATTACAATTGATTTAGATCTCGGAGACACTCAATAGTTTATTTAACCACACAATGAGCATGCATTACACAATGGATAAAATATCGATATACATCTAAAATTGTGTTAAAATAATTTGAATGTAGTATATACTTATACATAATAGAGTTTTGTATAATTACTTTTCTTGTTGCATGAAAAACAGCAACAACTGCAAGTTCTAATTAATAGCACCAAAACCAGTAAGACTGAGAAAAATTGTTATTCTACAACTAACAACACCCATACCCAATTCATTATTATTTCTAAACAATCCCATCCCTTTCACACCTATCATAGCTAACCAAATCCTAAGTTCCAAGAACGGCCGGGTCTACCTCCCGGAACCACTCGTCAACCACGACGACCAAGTACTATTCACCATCCTTCCAAAGAAATTTTACAAGCAGATCTCAACGCGTTACAAAAACAACAACTCATTTTCCAACCCATATACGGTTAATATGAAATTCCTTTGATGTTTCATCTGCTTGGTGCATCTCCGTGGATAAAAACAACAAGAAAATATGTTAGCTAGAAGCAAGAAGACTCAAACCGGACAAGAGTATATGCTTAACTTAAAAGTTGTCGGTTTCTACAATTCTTCTCAATGGTTGATAGGATAGTGGTCATGTTAAAACCACTAAAAGAATCAAGACAACGCTAACGCTGGAAATATTGCTGAATGTGTTGAGGAGTGGGACACCCAATAACTTAAGTCTGATTCTAAACAAGCCTGGACATAGACACAGCAGGTGTTCTGATGTACTAGAGGGTAGATCGAGCTTAGCTCAATGCCGTGCTATAATCCATTGCTCTGTTAGAACAAATATTAACCTAGATACTTCTGATTTGCTTCTGTGTATCAAGTCAGAGCTTCTACAATTTGAGTAAAATGGCCAAGCAAATTTGGCCATTTGCAATTAATACAGGCACAAACAATCTTACTATATTTGAAATAAAAAATCTATTGGTTATATGTGCCAAAACTTTCAGCTTTTACATATTGATATTCAATGTGTTACATTTGCAAATATAAATTTAAAATAAATATGTACATTAAATTATATTCATAATATTTCAACGCCTCCAATAATATTCAAGTGTTTAATACACATGAAAAAGGATTACAGAACTTTATCAAAAACAAGAGCTTTTGCTTTTAAGGCAATAATTAGTGAAAGTGCTACAGAAAAAGATAAATCTCCTCTTCAAATATTAATTAAATGGAGCTTGTGGATTTTGTTTAAAACAACTTAAGTGCAATAATGTTGCGTTGGGTGGGTTCATTTCATCGGAGCTCGTTATTCGCCTATTCCAGCTATGCGCTGATTTAAAATGAAAATTGTTAAGATCGACTTAGAATGTTCATAAAATAATAAAGTATTTTATAGGAATTTCATCTTATCTTAAAGTAGCATAAAAAGCACTAATAAAGCATTATTACGAGTGCAAATTCCACCGACCCGCAACCACTGGAGCCAATTTTCGTTCTACATTTGTTGAGAACAAGATAGAGAAAATAGAAAAAATAAGTAAATGAGGAGTGTGCAATATAAAATTTATAACAAAACTTTTTGTTTTAGTTTACCTGATGATGTGGTAGCGGTGAAATTGGTTGCAGTTTGCTTGGGTGATGCTGTTGTTGTAGTTGTTGGTGGTGATGTTGCTGCTGCTGTTACGCTAACAAAATCTGCATTTACAATTGTTGCGGAATTTGTGGTTAACATTGTTTCAGTATTTGCTCTTGTTGTGGCTGTTGTTGTTGAAGAGTTATTAGTACTGGTGGATGTGGCGGGTGCAGATGATCTAGCTGCATTGACGTTGTTGCCACCACTGCCACCAGTGCCACCGCCAACATTTCCAATATTAGCAGGATTTTGCAAATTGGCTGTTCCTATGATATTTCCCACGCTATTTGCTACAACTACTCTCACGGTAGCAACATTGCCCAAATTAGCTGGATCAATACGAAGTATACCCCAATTGATACGCTGTGGTGCCATCCAGCCGAACACAATAAACATACGTCGCAATGTCGCCTGTAATCTGCGAACAAAGGAAATTCCACGTTCTGGTTGGTCGCGTTGCTGCAGTAGAGCAAATTGCCGCCGAAGCAAACGATTTAAAATGATAGTTCTTTCCTGTCCTTGATCGCCTTGCAATAAATTTCCTCCAATGTTGTTTTGATTGTTCCTCGTAACGATAAGCACTTGCGCCTGTTGCAGTATGACGGGCAGTTCGTAGTGGTGGAAGAAGTAGAACATTGAATGCTGTAATAAACAAAATCATATTAAATACGTATTTGGAACATTAATTTTATATTATTTATATATCGTAGAGAAATGTTTAATAAAACAATTACAAAAAAATAACATTGTTGTACCGCAAAATTTGCCAAACATTATAGCCTATAGCCACTCTAACCGAGGGATACATTTTATAGTACTTAACTTATGTACTTTGAATTGCACAAAATTTATAAATATTTGTAGACCTGAAATGTATAGATATAAATACCGAATTTGAGTACCGAATCAGAGGTCATCGAAAGTATGTTGGTCATTGCGTCTCTGTAAGATATCAACAAAAATGCGCTCAACAGTATGCTCCGGGCGCCCTCGAACTATTACAAAACCATTTATGACATTCATTTTTATAATTTCTAGATTAATCCTAAACTATTAATTATATACAGATAATTTTATTCATAAATCACAATCTAGAGAGAGGCAAGTTGCACATCCCTCAGACTATTTCCAATACTACATTGTATAGAAAGCAACTCAACAGAGCATGTATAGATTCTTAACATATTTTGGAGCACAATGCCTTAAGGTCTCTGATGTGATAGATAAAAGGTTAGACTTTTCTATACAATTTGAAGTGGATATCATTGACTGTATATCTGTAGAAATAGTTATGTCAATTTTAAGCCCTGTTTCGAAGTATGGTATATGGATAAGTCCAATTTGAAAGATATCAATACAGATGCTAGAATAGTAGTGCTAAACTTTCTAATAGAAGTTGTAATAAAAAACACTAGCTTCATATTTCAAGTAGAGATCAAAACTACAGTGCTATGCATTGGAAGACATACGCGTAGGAGCACTACTAGTGCCGGCATATGGATACACTTAACAGTTCAACAGTTGTTAAATCGCATAGTAACCTAAATCAATTCAAATCTTATCTAAGAGGAGTTCTGTTACTCCTATTTGTAGATCGAAACATGAAGACAACAAAATGGTGGACTATTTAGATAATGATAAAAAGGCTAAGAGATAAATACCATTATTAGCCTACAATCTTTTTATAGGAAATATATGATAACAGCTTCAAAAGAAGTCAAATCACGACTAGAAGACTAACTATCTAATCTATCTACATATGGGTTTCATGCTTTGTTTTTTATAGACATAACAAATATTAACTTTTAGTGCCCGATCCACATGGCGTTAAACTGCTAAGGAAATGGTCGATGCCGTTAATATGATTTAGAGTGTAGTGGAATGCTATGCTCTAGTAGAAGTTAACGAAATAGTAAGTAATTCGTATGATACGTTAAATGATTATGTTTATTGGTTAAGTAGTTTTCCGTGGTTAATTTAGATCTTCAGTAAATCTACAGTAAATGTTCAGTAAATCTAACATCTACATTTCATTGAATTTTTCGTCGTTCGGCATAGTGAGTAATAAGTATTTCTCACAATTCAATTTTCAGAACAAAGAAAAGTGAATGAAAGTAATTCAATGGAGCATCGGCGCCCTATGGCTAGTTTTCACAACATGATATTCTGGTCACACATTTAAAAGCAACTTTTGTCATGTGCGTCCACTCCTTAGCTATATCCATGCCGTATACAGACCCTCCTTTAAGAGAGAGATTTTTAACAACTAATTAAAACTAATTAAAAATAAATATGTAAACAATTTAAAAAAAGAATAATTTTTCTAATATAAATTCAACTAAAATATTTTAGTGGGGTTAAAATCTAAACTTGTCTTTATCATGAATAGCTCAAAATAGTTCTCTGTGTCATATTTTTTTTGTGTTATTGTAACATTATCAAGTTTTTTTTAAGTTTGACTAAGTTAGATTTAATACAAATAATTAATGAATCTGTCAAACAAAAAAAAAAAAAAAATTACCAGATGCAACTAATCACTTCAAAGCCAAAGGAATAGAAAAGGAATTAATACTTTTCCTCAAACATAATACTACATCTCAACAATATTCATCTACAGAGTTCTTCTAATACCACCCCTACTATTTTTCTATTTTGTTATATTTTTAAGGTGTTGAGTCCGTAATGAATTTAAGAAGCTTAATATAAAATGCACACGAGAAAGCACGACAGCGTTGTGAGTTCCATTAAGTTTAAAATAATCAAATAAAGTAACATTTTAAATTGTATAGCTGCACTGCGTAGGTATTGTTTAATGTGGAAAACGTATAACCTCAGAGCTGCATACGTGAATGTAGTTTAGATACAAAAACGTGAGCCTGAAAAATCAATGGCTGCCACGTGAGTTATGACATGGAAAACTTGCATAAAAATGCTACACGTGAGCTCCACATTGATGTCAATTAATTTGCCATAAAATTGCCAGCAGAAATGTGGAAACAGCATCGCATAAACGGCAGCGATTCCGGCGCTGTCAGGGACTGTAAACGATACGAACACTGCACTGGAAATGTGAGAGAAGCAGTGCAACAATTGAATTCTTCGGAATAGGAAAATTGAATCTGCCGTAAATATTTCAAGCGGAAGTTGCTTGTCAAAATGATATTTGAACAGATTTTTTTAGATTTTTTTTGGAGAATTATTTAAGCAATTCGTTGAACACGTACCTGAATAAATAGCCAAGATGAGACCAGCGCTAAACTACGATTTTGTCCACTGAAGCGATAATGGTACGCATAGAAGGCGAAATGATACAAATAAAAGAACCTGAAAATATAAAAATAAATATTCTTTGTAAATTAGAGTAATCGATTTATTAATAGTTCATTAGAAAGTTATTTTCAGTAAGTTTTAATAAATTTGTTTAAGTTTCAATGAGTCAAAAACAGTTAAATGCACTTGACCGCAATTTTCATTTAATGACGTGTTTCATTTAATTTTAGACCATATTTCTCTATGTTTTCAATTGAATAACCCCAAACAGCAACTTCATTTAATGAAGTTTCTGATTATGAAATATTTATCTTAAACCATAAAGCAATAAAGAAACCGCAACTAAGTGTTGCAACTTGACCAACGGGCGGAAAGGTCTGCCTCTTACACTCTTTGCTGCCTGCTAATATGACAAATTCAAAGTTTCCCTTCCATTTAAATCAAATTGCAAGTTATACTATCAACTGCCCTAAACTTACCACAAGGAAGAGAAATGTTGTTGCAACAAAACTTATTTATGTGGTTGAGGATTCTTTATTTGAACTCCTGAATGCTGACATGGTAACTTAAGGATAGGATATTGAATTGAATTAAATTGGTGAATTAAGTGATTATATTTTTATTTTTAAATGATTTCGGAAAATAAATTATTTGTTTGTAATGCAATAAAAACGGAGTGAATTGAAGGCAAAACAAAGAAAAAAATTAAAAATGATAAATTTACCTTTTGTTAAATAAAACGGAAACGCCTTTCAGTTATTCCACTCGTACCGTAATACTTACATGGATCCATTCTACTCAATTCATTGCGTCCAACGGTTTATTCCCTAATGATGGGAGAGGCGAGGGTTGATTGACTTGCAAACAGTGACAACTGACAACTACTGCTGTTAGCAACGAAGAAAAATAATATTTCCTTTTATAACGAATTTTTTGTCTTCAATTTTTCTTTTTTATTCGAAACAAATTATGGCAGATCATCCTTGACATAAATATGAACATGCGTCTAAAATGTTTATCTATTTATGTAACCACGGACACTACTGTCCATAAGTATTAGTACATATTATTTTCTCGCATTTTCTTAGATACTCGTATACTTTTGATGTATACCTTTTTATCGCTATTTTATATGACAACTTCATGCTTCGTACTTTCATTCTTCACTGAAACACAAAATAAAACAAATCTAACAGAAATATTAAGTATTTGTGTAAAAAATAGGATATCTATCACAAAATGACCGATGGCAATAACGCAGTTTGCCAAAAGGTTAGGAAGTCATTCAAAGCTTTCAATCCAATGACGTTTTCGATTTATAAATCTAGATTTAATCTAGACTTACTATCGTTCTGTCAAATTTTATTTTTCACATTTTAATATTTTTATTCATAAAAACATATATCGAATGAAATCATACTTTATCTGTCTAGTCATGTACAACAGCTGTTAATTTTAT